ACATTTCAAATAATAAATTATTAATTTCTTCTTTTTTATTTCCTATATCAATATTCATATTTTCATAATATGTTTCAAGTAAAATATCTAAACCATCTTTCCTAATCCTAGGGCATAATATTGTAGCTAAACAATAAAGGGGAGAAATGTTCTAATATTTTTTAAATTTGAAATTGTGGATTATTTCTATATTTGGCAAAATAATCACTAATTACCATTAATTGATACGGTAAATTACAACTAGTTGGATAATAAATTCTAGATAGTTCATTTGTTGCATTATAAAAATATTTTAAAAAATCTCTTATATAGATTGTCATTTCCCAGTCTTCCTCAAAAATCATATCATCAGACATTTTTAAATTATAAAAATCAGAAAGAATTTTTTTATGAGATATACAACTTTCTAACATAGCATAGGTAGAATTCCACCTATGCTTTACATCAATATAAAATGTTTATATTTTAAACCATAATTTTGGCATAAATATTTAAATTATTGTTTTCTTGCCCCTGAACTTTTTATATATATAATATAGTTTCTAATTTTTGAAATATGACTTGAAATATTATTAATGGCATCTTGAATACATAAATTTAAGATGTGGCATGCACATCTAATATGAAATAATTTACCATTTAAGCATGGTTTTAATTGAGATTTTAAAATATTTATTGCAGAATCACTATTGCTAGCATTATCAAAACTAATAGAAAATATTTGTTTTCTATTCCATAAGCATGCAAAGTATTTAAAATACTTATAGCAATAGCTGGGCCACTATGTGGCCATTCAAGCCTAGTAAAACTTAACATTCTTTTGTTCAAAAGCCAAATTTCATCAATGAAATGGCCAGTAACACAAATATAACTAATATTAAATTTGGATGTCCAAACATCCGAAGTAATTGCAACTTTAGAATTAAGATTTGCTAACAAAGAAATTAAATTTTGCTTATATGAATAAAATTTTTTTAAAGCATCAGTTCTTATAGTATTCCTAGAAACTTTTTTATATTGTGGGTTTACAGAACNGTTGTTTCTCTCCCTTCATCTTCCTCTCGCTCATGTGTGAGCAGATGCCTGTTCAAATGACCCCTACCACCCTTGCTACAATAATTGAAGTCTTTCTTACATTTTTGGCAAACAACCCTTTTCCCCTTCCCCTCAATATCCTCTACTTTGAAAACTTTCCAAATCGGGCTACTCAGCTTAGAAGCCCTCCTTTTTCCCCTAGTATCACTACTACCGGGGGTGAAAGTTCCACTTCCATCGACATCAAATGCATCGGCATCAATGCTAATACTAATACTATTGTGATGCGATTGAATGTCATCCATGGTGAACATGTTGGGGAATTATTTTGAGAAGGGCCGGCCATTTTTTTAATTCTAAAAAGATAAAAATTAATCTAATTCGACTTATCCAGATTACCGATTCAAAATCCCAACTTGATTTTAACGGTTGAAGCCTTTCAACGTCCAAGCCTCCCGAATTGAGATACTTGAGTTGGTTGAGCAAGCCTTCTTCTTGTTGAAAGTTGAAATTTCGATAAAGTTGAGACTTCAGAATTGGAGAATGCAAAATCAGACAATCAGCTAATCAGAATTTCTCAGATTGCAAATAATTGAGAATGTATGAGTATGAGAGAGAGAGAATTAAGAGAATTGTTGAATTGGTGTGATGAGAATGGTGGAGGATAGGGCTATTTA